TTTAATCTAGTGAGCAACGGGTAAATATGCATGTTCGACAACATACTGAGGGAGCCAGTAATTTCTAACTCAGATCAAAGACAGCTCTTCAACACAGAATCAAGGGAGAAGGAGTGAATGGAATCAAACTGAAAATCAAAATTTCAGTAAACAAAAGAAATATTCTCAGTGCAGTATCTGTTCCTTAACAAGTCATTCTGAAAATGAGTGCTGGTACAAGGGAAAGAAAACCATTCGGTGCAATTTCTGCAAAAGGCTTGGTCATAAGGAGAAATTCTGTAGACAGAAACAGAAGCAGGAAGGATCACAGCCAAAGCAGGAACAACAGCAAGCCAATGTCACCAAGGTGTCCTGTGAGCAAAGTGACACAATTCTCGTTGCGCTGAGTAAGCTGCCAGTGGAGGATGCTACTCTCTGGGTGGTGGACAGTGGGTGCACCTCCCACATGTGCAAGGATGAGGGCTTGTTCGTGTCACTTGACAAAACAATCTCAGGTCAGGTCCGACTTAGAAATGGTATGCTGGAAACCATTAAGGGCAAAGGCAACATAGCCATTGAAACCAGGGAAGGTAGGAAGCTTATCACTAATGTGAATTTTGTTCGTACCCTCTCATAGAATCTTTTGAGTGTGAATCAGATGACTGATCGAGGCTACTCGGTCGGATTCAAGGATAACTGCTGCAGGATATATGATCCTGAGGATCGCTTGATCGCTTTCATCCAAAAGAATGATCAAGTCTACTCCTTAAAGCTCAGAGAAGTAGTCGAGAGGGCCAGTGTTGCCTCTGTAACAGAAGGTGAGATGTGGCACAGGTGCCTTGGGCATTTTCATGCGGCTGGGCTACAACAACTGCAGAAGGGAGGCCTAACCAAGGACTTCCCAAATATTGCAATCACTGAGTTAGTATGCGGTGCATGTCAGATGGGAAAAATAGCAAGAAATTCATTTCCTTCGCAAGCAGATTGGAGAGCAAAAGAGAAGCTGACACTTATCCATTCTGACATCTGTGGTCCAATGACAGAAAACTCCATGAGTGGATGCAGGTATTTTGGCTTGTTCATAGATGATTTTTCCAGGATGATTTGGGTTTGTTTCCTGCAGAATAAAGCTCAATTTTTTTGTGAATTCAAGAAGTTTAAGGCTATTGCAAAGAAGGAAAGTGGCAGTGTACTGAAATGCCTAAGGACAGATAATGGTCTTGAATTCAATTCCAGCAAATTCAATGATTCCTGTTCTGAGAATTGGATCAAAAGTCAGCTCACGGCACCATATTCTCCTCAATAGAATAGTATCTCGGAGAGAAAGAACAGAACCATTGTGGAAATGGCAAAAAGCATGCTTGCTGACAAGCACCTGCCTAAAGCCTTGTGGGCTGAGGTAGTGAACACTGCCGTGTTCCTGCTCAACATGCTGCCTACAAAGGCTGTGAAGCATATGACACCGACGGAGGTCTGGAGTGGCATCAAACCATCGACTAAGTATCTAAAGGTGTTTGGCTCGGTGTGCTACTGCCATGTCTCGGATGACAGGAGATCCAAGCTAGAAGTGAATGCTGAATTGGGAGTATTTTTGGGTTACAGTACTGAAGCAAAAGCACATCGAATTCTAAGCCTGAAAACCAACAAGCTTATGATTCGAAGAAATGTAACAGTGGACGAAAACAGCTATTGGAATTGGGAGAAACAAAAGGTCGAACCAGACTGTGTGATAGTGGAAGAAGGAAAGAAATCTATGTCAGTATTAAACCTAACCCACGCTGAGAAACAAGATGAAGAAGATGAAGAAGGTGAAGCAGAAGGGAGAACAAAAATGAAAAGTTTAGCTGACATCTATGAGAGGTGCAGCTTTGCTTCAAAAGAGCCTTCCTCTGTTGAGGAAGCACTTTAGCAGCAAGAGTGGAAACTTGCTATGGAAGAGGAAATCAGGATGATCGAGAAAAACAATACCTGGTCTCTGGTAAAATCAAGTGCAGACAGAAAGTCTATTGGAGTAAAGTGGGTGTTCAAGGTGAAACTGAATCCGGACGGGACAACAAACAAGCACAAGGCACGGCTTGTGGCAAAGGGGTACTCCCAGCTTCTAGGAATCGACTACACAGAAACTTTTGCTCTTGTGGCCAGATATGAAACAATTAGACTCATTCTGGTCATGACAGCTCAGTTTAGTTGGAGTGTGATGCATTTGGATGTGAAATCAGCCTTTTTGAATGGCAAGCTGAATGAAGAAATTTATATTGAGCAGCCACCGGGGTTCATTCAACCTGGAAAGGAGAGACACGTCTATCTTCTTCACAAGGCCCTATACAGCCTCAAACAGGCTCCACGAGCCTGGTATGATAAGTTAAATACATATTTACTTCACTATGGGTTTGAGAAAAGCATGACAGAAACTATATTGTATGTGAATAAAGATGAAGACAGACTTATTACTGCAGTATATGTTGATGATATACTAGTAACAGGCAGCAACAAAAGAAAAATGATAGAGTTCAAGCTGAAATTGGAAAATGAATTTGAGATGTCTGATCTTGGAGAGGCTACCTACTTCCTGGGAATGGAGATTCATCAAAGCAGCTTGGGTATTTTTCTTTCACAAGGCAAGTATGCTAAAGAAATCCTAAATAAATTCAACATGGATCACTGTAAATTAGTGTCTACACCACTGATATCCAACCTGAAGTTGTCAAAGGACGAGAAAGGTAGCAAAGTTGATGAGGGGAATTACAGAAGTCTGATTGGGAGCCTTCTGTATCTCACGGCTACTAGACCAGACATTCTATTTGCAGTGAGTTTGCTTTCAAGGTACATGGCCTCACCGAGGGAATCACACTTACAAGCTGCTAAACATGTGCTGAGGTACTTGAAAGGAACCTGGAACTTTGGTGTTCAATTCAAAGCAAGAGCTGAGGGTGGATTGGTCGGCTACAGTGACAGTGATTGGGCAGGAAGCGTGGAAGATGCACGTAGTACAACTGGGTACTTGTTTAAACTAGGCTCCAGTGCTTTCTCATGGGCGTCTAAGAAACAGGATACTGTGGCACAGTCCACAGCTGAGGTTGAGTATGTAGCTACAGCTACAGCAGCTAACCAAACAATTTGGTTGAGGAAAGTGTTCAATGATGTAAAGCTGGACAAACAAACACCTACAGTGTTGTATGTAGACAATAAGTCTGCAATTGCCATTGCGAAAAATCCTGTAATGCACGGGAGAACTAAACACATCAACGTTAAGTATCATGCTATACGTGAGGTTGAGAGGAATCAAGAAATCAAGCTGATACATTGCT